ATTTTTGTCTGTGTTCTTGTGTCTAGCATAAATGAGGAAAGAGACGTTTGATTTACTCCAACGGATATAATCTTTGAATATTTCTTCTTCAGTTTTCAGCAAGTTCATCAGAGTCTGATTGGGTCAGAATCTTCTAATGATGATCAGAACTTTGCTGGATCAGAGTCTTCTGCAGCATGTGTGCTTTCAGCGTGTTAAATATCAGAGCATATTTGAAACAGAACTTCAGTACTGGCAGCTTTAGTACTTTCAGAATCTTCTGTAGAAACTATGCTTTGAAAAACTCTTCATACAATATTCTTCTTTGCTTCAGATGCTTCTGACTTGCTTCAGATGCTTCTGCTTGCTTCAGATTCTTCTGGAGCTTCTGTTTCAGAATCTTCTGGAGCTTCTTGCCTCAGATCCTTCTGAAGGCTATGCTCAGGATCTTCTATTAGCAGCAATCAGAATCTTCTAATGTATGCATCTGGCGCTATAGAGTCTAGCTAATTTCTTGTATTCAACTCTGATTTGCTTCTGGAGTATTAATTTCTTTACTATCTGCAGTAAAAACTCTCAAGCAAATTTTAGAGTATATAATTCTTAAATACAAAATTTCCTAATAGTTATCATCAAAACATAGAGATATTATTAAGAACCAATCTGTGTTCTAACAGAAGTGACTTTCGTATTTTGTCATATTTATTTAGTGGTTCCTTGCTCTGATCATGTAACATCGGGTTGGGATAAACGCTTGATTTAATTTTTGTGTCATTGTTGTCGACGTTACAAACTTTTGTGTTGTTGAGATTTTTAAGTTGTCTTGAGTTGATTGCCATAGTCTCTTGATTATGCTATTAAGTTGAAAATTATGAGACTTATTGTCTTAAGTTAGAATATTATTGTTTTATGTTCATTAGTGATTTCGTTGTGATGATACCATAAATTCTTGGATGAGCATGCGAGGACAGGTACTGAATGTCTTATTATATGAGTAGTTGACCAAAATTAGATGTGTTGGATGTCATGTTACATCCCAAGTACGAATTAGATGTGTTGGAGTCGTGTAACATCCCAGGTATAAACATGTACATTGAATTTATTTTTATGGTAACTCGTGTTACGGAACATGTTATGTATTTTGATGTGTGTGATGCTCTTGTGGTTATGTTTTCTAATTAAAATATTCAATTATTGTTTTGGAGTATAAAATGGTGTTACATCATTGGTTCTTTTGAACTTAAACACATCATCATCAAATAATTCTCAATACAAGGCCACGTCACTAGTTCCTCTTGAACCTAAAACTCAACATAAATTATAATCAATACAAGGCCACATCAATGGTTTCATTAAACTGAAGCATCTCAACATAAACCCAACATTTTTCCTCCTCATGAGGCATTCATCATAATCTCAACATAATAATTAAAATTATTTAATTTCTCATGACTACTCATCAACAACATCAACACAACATCAAACAACCTTTAATACTCAACAAGGCATGTTCATAACAAAAACAAAACATCATAGTTAACTCTAACAACTTTTATTTAAAAGTTAAGGGTTACAAGCATATCCTTTAAGATATCAAGAATTACTTTAATTCAACTTATTTACTTCTCAAACTCAATCCTAAACATTTCAAACTCAACTCTAAACATATTAATAAGTCAAACTCAACTCTAAACATATTAATAAGTCAAACTCAATTCATTTAATCCTCAAACTCAACCCTAAACATATCAATTAACTCAAACTCAACTCTAAAACATATCAAATAACTCAAACTAAACTCTAAACATATCAAATAACTCAAACTCAACTCTAAATATATCTACATATTATTTAACATAAACATATCATCCAAACATTGAGTCAATTTTCTAAAACATTAACAACTTAATTCACACAATATCTTATTAAAATAACCCCAAAATCATGTTTCCTGCTAGTCATACATCAAAATTTTCCTACACTATATGAAGTGATATATCTTTTGAATAACCAACGAAAACCATGACAATATCAAAATAACAACAATTATTCAAATTATGGACAATCTGCATAATCAATCAACATATATACCATAATTCTTCTCAATAGAAAAGATCATCAAAATTTAAGGAGACACTGAATCAGTCTACATAAGTGATTATGAAAAATCAGAAAAGAATAGACACCTAAATTAAAAACCTTGAGGCGTAAATTAATCATTTAGTCAAGCACATAATTGGTCAACAAATCAATGACACCACTCAAACTAACTCAAATGAACATTGCAAAGTGGGTGGAGATGGTAGTGATTAAAAAACCGAAAAAAATTATTGTCGAAGAGAAAAGTGGAAAAGACGATGAAGAAAAGAAGATGAAAAAAGACGTAAGTGAAGAGGTTGGGACAAAAACTCAAGAAACAAAGGAGTAAAAACAAAAAAGAAATTCCACATATTCAGAATATGTAACACACTGACTTCAACTAAGAAATTTTTTTATTTAAGGCTTTCAGTCAATTCTCAAAAGAGTGTAGATGAGCACATCATTCTCTAAATCCTTAAAACAACTTCATACATCTCTCAAATACATGAGACGAATAGGAAGAAGAAAAGAAGATATTTTAAGGAATCTTAACACAGGCACCAAACTAATGATGTTAAACAAACACTTATTAAGAGGAAACTTAATTTTCTTGCTTTAAAATTCTTTTATGCAAATTTTATTTTCTGAATAAACACGAAGAAACAAGTTTTGACCATTTTGCCAATATTTCACTAGAAGAAAACATTTCCTCTCTAAGTGAAAATTTCACTGGCAAAACTCACCTAGCGAAATGTTATTGTCGCTAAGCAAAATTTTTAGGTCCTAGATATAAAATTTCAATTCAGATTTTCAATTTCACATGATGATAGCCAAAAGATAGACCAAAATTTTTCAATGAGAATGGATGTTGGGACTAAAATTCCCCAAAGCTTGTGACATTTTCTTTACTATTTACTTTTAGATATATCTTTAACATGAACACGATAAACTTTTAAATACATGAGTACTTTTTGTTCAAAAATCTGAAATATTTGAAATTGTTTGCCCAAAGTTGATTGTCCGTTGATGGTTCAAATCATTTGAACAAATCTAATGCAAATTAATTAAAACTTATAATAAGAGGATTTCTTAATGCCTCATATATGTTACTTACACACTACACGAAAATACTAAAATGTCATCCAGATTTTAGAGATGAATCTTCGAACGCATTCCAAACACATATTTCATTCGTTTTTAAATTACATCCTAATTTTATAAATAAATTTATTCCTGAAATACATCTCCGAAATGCATCTCCGAAAAATTTTCAAAAATATATTTTCAAAACATGCTAGAAAAAAACAGAAGTCTATAAGGTAGCAAAACCATAACAATTGGATTGTTAAAAATATTTGACTTCAATTATATATGTCTAAAAAGTATAGTAGTTTGAAGCTGTGACCAACTTAACTGATTTCCCTACTAGTTACTTTAGTCACTCTTTTGAAGCATTTTATGATCTTCATATTGCTATTTATTACTCACTTTTTTTGAAGAGTTTTATGATCTTCATATTGATATTTATCAACCACTACAGAGTTGTCTTCATCGGCTCCGTTTATACCATGCTTCAATGTCATTAATCTGCACCTACATATTCTCATATAGACTTCTGCTACCTTATTTGAAATATAGTGTCCATTTTTTTTTCTCATTTTCACTTATTTGAAATAGTGTCCATTTTTTTTCCTCATTTTCACTTATTTGAAATATAGTTTTCATTTTTTCTCATTTTCATTAGGTTCCGTAGATTCTAATATATTATAGACTTCTATTTTTTTTAATAGGTTTCGAAAATATATTTTTAGAAACTTTTTCAGACATACATTTTCAAAATAAATTTATTTATAAAATTAAAATGTGACTCAAAAACGAATGAAATATATATATTGAATGCATCTGAAAATGCATCTCCATAATTTAAAGGACATTATAGTATTTTCGCGTGGTGTATAAATAACATATGTGGTGTATAAATAACATATATGATGCATTAAGAAATTCCCTATAATAAAAATAAAATAAAAAATAAATGCATGATCAATATTGTAATTGTCTATAAATTAATAGCATGATGAATTAATTGTTTGATTCAAAGTTTTACTTTATTACTTGTAGTGAAAAACATGTCATATAAATCCTACCGAAATGTGATTTATTCAATATGTGAAATTTCTATTGTTGTGAAAATGTAAAGTTATGATAACACGTGAACATGTGATAATGTGTTGTTTCTATGTGATGTTGAACAATGTGAATTGTGACAAAATGTGAATTCTGACAAAATGTACATTGTGCCATGTGAATTGCGTAATGGCTTAACTAGCCGATAATGATAGTTGAGTGTGTGTGTGGTTTGGAATATTTTTAAGTTGGAAGCTATCATACAACTCTGGTGTATTTTGGCGTGTTAATTATATGAATTGAAGTCGAGTTGAGCAAATATGTGGGAACTTCAATGTGTCTTCAAGACTTATTTGGAATAAATAAAAATCTTAATAAGATCAAAACCAAATGATAAAATCAATATACAACATATGAAACTAAAATCAAGACTTCAAATTCATATCTATGATGACAAACTTCAATAAAAACAAGATTATAGGGTGAACTTTCATGCTAAGCAATTTGATAGAAAGACATTGAAGCCTAAAGAAGAAAATATATAACATTATTTTAACCATATCATTATTTGTTCAACCATATAAGAAATAGCTTACAATTTCCAATGTTGTTTTATTACAAATAAATTCACAAATACCACATGACATAACTTGTGTACAAACCAGGATTTGTATGTAGCTTAAGAAGAACAAGAACAAGAATTAACAAACTCTTACCATACACTATATATCAAGAATTGGAGCAACAACATTTCTACATAGGACATAACCAAATGCTCCAAGCAGAATAAACAACTTTCTATTTTGGCGTGATTATCAGAAAAAGCAACAACACTCTTCTAGCACACAGCAGCAACAAAGCGCCGCCAAGCTGCAATGTAAATGAAAGAATCTTATTCTTCAATTAGAACCAAGCAAACAAAGAGGAGAGAAAGCAAAATACTTAAACTAAGAACATTTCTTATGATTTTTATATTTTAATGAAAATGTTGATGTTTCAAGCTGAAATAAAACAATTTTATAGTGTTTATTAGTTTAATGATGTGTCACAAAGGCTAATTGGTGAATTCTGCCTATTATGAAAAGCATAGGCATAAAATCCAATTATCAATCTAAGGTGAAAATGTAACTAAGTTAGGTTCAGGAATGATAAATTTAACTAAGACTTGTTGGTTAGGCCGAAGTCTTTGGTGTATCCTTCTCTGCTCCCGCTTTACTGCTCTATCGCAGAGCTCGGTAAACGTGCCAGGTTTGAATCCTGCTACGGGATCTCTTAAACTTTTATATTGCAGTTGCAGGTGGCGGATTAAGTGTATGTTTGGTTTAGCTTTTGGTGTAACTCTAGAATTGATTTTGAAATGTTCTTCTAAAATAAAATCAAATTGATTCTACTTGAAGAATTAATTCTCCTTAAAGTTAGAATTTGTAGCTTTTGAATGATTCAATTTTGAGTAGAGTTATCCAAACATAAATCCCTTTACATTCAATTCTGAATCAATTTCCTCGAAACCAAATTTTTTCATCGCTTTCACTGAAATTTCCAGTGAAATCAATGTTGAGAAACAAAATCAAATTAGAATTAACACTAACGAAACCAAAGAGTGAAACCCTAAAATACAAAACTTGCTCGTTAAAGAAAAAACATACCATCCTCTAAAGAAAGAACAACAACCGGGATCACCATGATGATGGCAATGATCAACATGCTGGTAGTTGTATTGAGGCGGAGGAGGAGGCGGCGGTGGATATCCGTTATCGAAATAGCCCTGGTAAGAATCGTACGGCGGACGATGGTGAGACGGCGGAGGTGGCGGAGGGTAGCCTCCAGGGTATCCCGGCGGAGGGTAGCCTTCCTGTGCTTGAGGTGGCGGTGGAGGGTAAGCAGATCCAAACCCTAACAGATTAAAAATTGAATTCAATTTTTGATGAAATTGTTAGAAAGAAAAAAAGAAATGACGTACCTGGCGGAGGGTAATTGCTCATTGGATTTGATTCGAGAGAATTCTTGTTTTCTCTCTTTCTTTTTGTGTGAGAGTGATGATGATGGTGTTGAAGAAATGGTTAGTTTTATTAGTTTATTTATTTATGGCATTGCTATTACGTTACATAAGATAAGAAAAGTTAATATGTGGAAGTTATTGTTGAGAAGAAGACAAGGAAAGAAAGAGAGAGTGAATGAGTGAGTTGGGTTTGTTTCTTAATTGCTAAGTATTTACATTTTCACACTTCACAATTGTTAAGTATTGCATTGCCAAGTCTTTACTAACATCTAGGTAGGATGTGACAACTCATTATCCATATCTCTTCCATTTTTATAACCGTGTCAAAGACTTTGCTTTACAATCTCATGCAAAGGCCTCTATGATTTTCTTTTACCATAATAACCAAACATTTGCCACAATATCACCTACACTAATCATCTTTCCATCATACTTTTTAAAATTTTACCATAATAACCAAACATTTGCCACAATATCACCTACACTAATCATCTTTCCATCATACTTTTTAAAATACCCAAATTTAATAATAATAATAATAATAATAATAATAATAATAATAATAATAATAATAATAATAATAATAATAATAATAATAATAATAATAATAATAATAATAATAATAATAATAATAATAATAATACGCTCCTTTATAAATAAATAAAGGAAGTCAGTTCAATCCCCTTTAAAATTAAAGTGAATGTGTTAATAGCAACTTAATCTTCTTTAAAATTAAAAAATAAGTGTCAAATCATTTACAGTCTACTTTGAAAAATAGGAAGAGACGTAAATTGGACAATAATCACCCTCTTCAATTTTAAAGGAGGGCGTCAATAAGATAATAGTCTTAATTTTTTTAATTATATAATTAATTTTAAATATATATTATATTATATAATATTATAAAGTTTATTATTATTTTAATAGTAAAATTTCTTGTATAAATAGATATGATCATCTGCAGATTTCTTCACAACTTTTCTCATTTCCTTCTGTTAGCTCCTAAATTCGACGCCTCAGGTAGAAAGAAGGTATTTAAGACAAAAGGGTAAAAAATAGGTTGAGAACAAAAGAATGGTCGAAAGAAGCAAAATAGCCAAGTCGAAGGAATCACCCAGAAGCCAAGAGTTTGACCGCCTGCTGAGAAGAATGGTTTGTCGAAGGATTTGAAATTTAAATATTGGAGGGAACGATTTTGCTTGTTGAATATTGAGGGAGACACGTGTCAGTAGATCCATGCATTTGTGACAAGTGGCGAAAGGAGATTATGGTGGAGGTTATTAGAGGTTATTTTTTATTACTATAAATAGGGTGTCTTAGACATATCCAAAGTGTGTTGTAATTTACTATTGTACAAATTACTCTTGAAATTACTCCAAGTATCCGAGTGTAGAGAAAGCGAGTATTGTAAGAGAATGTACGTGATGTAAACACACTATCTTTTAACTTAATGCAATTTACTTGTTTTTACTTTAAAGTTTTACAAAATCTTTTATTGTCTTTACCCCTTTTCCTCCTTACTTTATCTCTCCCCTGCCTATGCAATTCTTTTCTCTTCGTCCTCAATCTAACTTCTTTTCTCCCAACAAACTTTCCTCTCCTTTATTAAAAGCTTCGTTTTGTCTTTAAATTCACCCGTAGTCGAATACATGTTCTTTTAGAATTCTTTCACCCCAATATTGTTCGACTGTGGAACTTGAATAGATTTTTAAAGTAAAAAATAAATCTTTTAGCACATGTCCTAGGATCAATTTGATCGATCCTGTGAGTCACCAAAGTTAGATTTGGAAGATCAACGGTTATTTTCCGATTTTCAAGGGAAACAAAATGGCACGCCCAGTGGGACAGTGCTAGAAAATCTATTTTATAAAACTAAACTTATAAAAATTCTGCAGTTATACTGGTCCCTTTTCGTGAGAGGTACATTTTTATGTTACTAAGAAGTGGTAAAATTGTCGCTGTAAACGAAGAAACGCGACCAAGACGAAGCAGTAAGAACATGGCTACGGATACGAACCAGCCAGATAACTCCAACCATCAAGGAGACGGTTCCAGTGAGGGGATAAGAGACGAGGGAGTTCCCTCTCCGATACCGTCGACGGGAGAGCAAACGGTGCTTCCAGTAAGGCCAGTACAGACGCCTTCCGTACTTGGGGTAGGATCGACGGTGATAAGGCCTTATACTCAGCCAGTGTTGGAATACATTGGTCATCAAACGTCGAATCCTCAGATTTTGTTAGGAGGAAGTTCGACGTCCAGGCAGTTCGTTCCCCCTGGTTTTTCACAGTCACCAAGAAACCCCTCATATGGGATGCCCACTATTATGATGCAAGGGCTCTAAAGTGCACCTCCTATATTCTCAGATCAGGCGATGGCTTCGCCGCTACAAGGGTCAGGGTCAGGCGTGAACATGGGTCAAAACCCCCAAAGCCAGAGTTTAGGGTATTCGACACAAGGCCCCAATTTGACCAATACCTCAGTTGCTTGTTTAAGACAGCAGATGGATGAAAGTAACCTACAAATGGTTCAGACCTTGTCACAAACCATGGGTGAAATATTTCAACCATTAATCCAAAATACAACCCAGACCAATCAACAATTGGCGGTACAATTAACGATATTGGCTGAATTCATGGGGGTGCCTCCCTTAACCAGAAACCAAGCCGCATTAGCGGATACCCCACGAGACAACGTAGCGAATGTGGCAGAAGTCGATGTGGGAAACCAAGGAAGGATGGCCCCTCCGTTAGTCGAAGGACTTAGGGAAGATCCTTTGCAAAACCAACCCCGTGGCTTGGAAAGAAACCCAGGAGTAATGGTGGTGAATAGGAACCAAGACGCAGACAACGTAGTCCAGCAGGTCCGTCGAAACAACGTAGCCGTCGACAATAATCTAGCGGCCATGGTCGAGAGAATTATAGCTAGAAATGGGTTAAACATTGGTTTCACCAGGCCAAACTACACTTCACCTATAGTAGACTATATCCTTCAGGCGGAGTTACCTTCTAGGACGAAAGTGCCTAAATTCACTAAGTTTTCAGGAGACACGACGAAATCCACCGTCAAACATGTAGCTCGTTACTTAATCGAGGCTGGAGAGATAGCGAACGATGAAAGCCTTAGAATAAAATACTTCCTAAGTTCTCTTACTAAGAACGCCTTTACCTGGTTCACAATGCTTCCCCCTAACACAGTGTGTAATTGGATCCAGTTATAGCGTTTGTTCCATGAGCAGTTCTATATGGGTCAAACTAAAATCAGCTTAAAAGAACTCGCTAGTGTGAAGCTAAGTTTTCTGAGCCGATAGAGGAATACCTTAATAGGTTCTGGTTTCTCAAGGCCAGATGCTTCACGCAGGTCCCTGAGCATGAGTTGGTCGAAATGGCCGCTGGGGGTCTCGACTACTCTATTAGGAAAAAGTTGGATACCCAGTACCTAAGGGACATGGCCCAATTAGCCGATCGAGTTCGACAACTCGAAAGACTCAAAGACGAAAAGGCTATGTTTAATAAAAATAAAAAGATAGCTTTTATCGAATATAATGAGAACGTCGAAGGTCTGTGTGATGAGTCTGTGAGTTTCGACGATGGCGAAGTGGACCTTGCTGAACTTAAGCAAGGACCGCTTTACCTGTGCAAAGTATTGGCTCCCCCACAAGGGAAGAGTTATGTCGAATTTGAAAAGAATGACAGGTTCCCAAAGAAAACATATACTTTCGACATCACAAAATATGATGAAATCTTCGATTTGTTAGTTAAAGACGGACAGATGATATTGCCTCCTGGCGCCAAAATGTCGTCCATAGAACAAAGGAAGAAAAGAGGGTTTTGTAAATATCATAATTTCTTGGGTCATAAAACATCTCAATATTTTCTTTTCAGGGACCTTGTTCAGAATGCGATCCAGGAAGGACGTCTAAAGTTCAGAGAGAAAGCTGGTGGCCAAATAAAGGTCGAATCAGATCCTCTGCAAACGGCAGACGCAAATTACGCAGAGCCAGTCGAGGCCAATATGCTCGAAGTTGCTGACGGTTATGACTTTTCAATTGAAGTAACAAAGGCTGCTGGAGATCCCATAGACGAAGCTGTAATGGCGAAAGTTACCATCAGCTTCGGACAAAAGAGCTGTGTCGAAATGGAAGTTGATAGCTGTGACCAAAGGGATGAGACCAAGATTCCAAACAACAGGAACAATCTGGGTTGGGAGATAGTGACCAAAGAAACGGCTGATGACTTCGTTAAAATCGATCAAGCCACCAAAGGCGTGGAGTTAAGCTTTAAAAAGCTTAATCCAGCTAAAGAAATTGAAATTAACATGGTACAAATCACTCAACATGAGGAGGTAGCCGATAGTGAGTCGAACTACCAGGAAACACACACAAGGGAAGCCTACCCAGAGCAGGACGAATTTATTGTCTCTTTCCTTCATCGCTGCCAGGAGAAAGGTTCTAGTGTGATGCTTTGTCCCCGATGCAGCGCCATATTCGACAAGAAGGCTACACAAAAGTTAGAAGGGACACGAAGGCTGAGGCAAGAAAACGAAAGGCCAAGATTCGACCCTCGAAAAGGCCTTCAACAAATATCTGACCCTCGCATAAGGCCTCCTACGAACAAACCCACTGGCTTTAAGCCCAATGCTAAGGCCACTGATGGGAAGTGGGCGAAGCCCAATGAGGACAGTCAATAAGGACAGAAGAGATGGAAGAACTTCGAAGTACAATGTGGATCTTCACTAAGCTATTGGAAAGAATTTCAGTCTTCAAAGGCTGCTCATGTGTCAAAAAATTATAAAGGGAAAAATCCCATGTCTCGGTCCCAATGGAGACGTGAGCAGAGAAGAAGAAAAGCACATAGAGACGGTGCACATAAAGACCACAATCCAGCACCAATATCCCCATTGAACAGGAGGGTCGAACAAAGGCCTTCGGGAAGACACCTGTAGGAAGAAAGTTGTTTCCAACGCAGGTCGAAGAACAAAGAAAAT